GCTGTCGATTATCATACGATATTGTTTAAATGGTGCAGTACATGAACGGTTTCTTGGTTTTGTTACTTTTCATAGTCACACTAGTGAAGCACACTGGTTTTGGAATTTCTCAAACGAAGTGGTATTTATATTGCCAACTGTCGAGCGCAAACTTATGATAATGCTACCAATATGTCTGGGCGATGTCGTGGGCTACAAGCTCAAATTAAAGAAATGAATGATTTAGCATTTTATGTCCCATGTGATGCTCATTCTTAGGATTTAGTTGGAGATTGCAGTGCAAAAGAATGTTAAGAAGCAATTATTTTTTTTTCAATTCTTCAAAAATTATATGCATTTTTAGGAGCCTCGACGCATAGATGGGATGTCCTATTAAGAAACAGTAGAAAAAATAGTAAGACATTAAAAAGCCTCTCAAGTACACGATGGTCTTGTCGTGATGATGCTGTAGAAGCATTAGCTGGTAACTATGAAGAGGTATATAACACGTTAACTGAAATTTCTAAAGATATGGATGAAAATGCTGATACTTGTCACGAGGCCGATTCAATTAAGAAAGTTAATAAAATTAGAAACAGCTTTTATGACTATTTTTTGGAAACGTGTATTAGGCAGATTTAATGCAACAAGTATTTATTTACAAAGAACTGAAATTGATATGGTTACTGGTAATAGTATGCTACAATTGTTGGTAAAATTTGTTGATGAACTTCGAAATGATTTTGACGTTATTGAAGAAGAAGCAAAAATATTGAGTCTCTCAGTTAGTAAAGAATGGTCTGACGGAGGAAAAAATAAACGTAACATTATTATTATAGGTGTACGGTCCCCGTTTTGGGCGGATACTTTTGAGTATTCGTCCAAAAATCTTGAAGCCCTGCTCAGGGTGCAGAGGCGGGCGGCGATCTGGACTGTTTGGCGTACCGAACAGTGTCCGGAGTGGCGGCGGTACGCAGTACGTAAATAGATGTATAAATTGTTTATATTATAAAATACCAAATAAAGGAGCTGTGTATTGGCATCCTTTGGATAAGGGTAACCAACCTATGTTGACTGTACATTTAGATCATGTAGATCCATTTGTGTTGACTGATAGGGACAATAAATATGTGCTGACTTTTATAGATGGCTATAGTAAGTATGTTGTTTTGAGCGCAGTGAAGGATGTGAGTGCGGAGGAAACAATAGTGTACGTACGACTTTTTATAAGCCATTATGGTAAGCCACTTCGGTTTATTTGCGATCGAGGTTCCGCTTATACTTCCGTAATTTTTGAAAAGTTCTGTAGAGATCATAATATTTTACACGTAAAAACTGCAACCAAGACNTAATATTATACACGTAAAAACTGCAACCAAGAGTCCTAGGAGTAATGGTCAAGTTGAAAAAACAAACGGTACTATTATTAAATGTTTAGCGATGATAACTGAAAGTGAGGAAAACAGAGATTGGGATATGAAGTTAATGGAAGTACATGGTCTGTAAATAATAGTACACAGACAACAACAAAATATAAACCATTTGATGTTATACATAACTACAAAGCAAATGGATTAATTACTAATAGTTTGAATAGAGAGATAGAGACAGTTAGATTAAATAAAGAAAAGGTTGAAAATGTTGATTTAACGGAAAGACTAAAGGAAAATAGGGAGAAAATGTTGACAAAAATAAATGAACGACAGGACAGAGTAAAAAACTAGAACCAAAGTACAAATATCCGTATGAAATAACAAAAGTCCTCAGGTATGACAGATATGTGGTACAAGATATAACAGGCGAGAGAGTAAGTCAAAAACTATTCAGTGCTGTGATAAGCTTTGACCGTTTAAAGTTGGTAAGCCCAAATGTAGATGAACTATTGTAAAAAAAATATATATATATATATTAATATTGTACTATTGTTGTTATTAATGTTAATATCTGTAATTTGTATGTAAACACTATTTTTCTCAATGAAATCATACATTTGTATACATATAATTTTATGAAAAAAAAAAATTTGTGTTTAATTATTATTATCGTTGTTGTTAAAAAAAAAAAAAAAATGTTCCAAATCGATTAAAAATTATCTGTATTTTGTTGATATTTTGTCAGGAGCCAAAAAATTATAGGATGACCGACTGTGATATATAGTTTATATAGTAGAGGGGTCAGCTTATCGTTGCTATACTGGTGATTCTTTGGAATCCCGACTTGGGTCTACGCTTGACACGGCCCGTAATAGCGCACTATTCATTTACCGTGAATTAGCACGTTATCCGGTCGTGATTATCAGCTGTCCACCGTCGCACTCATTAGTGTTGACGATAACACAAGTTTGTCTTATCCGGCGGTCGGTAGATAGGACAGGTCAGGGGTTCAGCACCGCGAGACACGTCGGCGACTATGTAATCGAGTTCATCTATGACTCACATCCGCCGTACGTGTCGTCGAGTTATATCCGCACCTTACGGTTTACCCGTCATTTGTACATTATAAATTATAATATTTTTATAACTTTCAAACAAAATAAATTGACTCCACAGTCAGAACATAACGGTGTTACGTTTATTATTAATAACCTTTTAAAAAATACCGTGTCACGCTCTGAGTCGGTCCATGGTGTACCTGATGTTGAGGAGCCGGGAGGCGTGAAGGCTCGTCCAAGCGTTCGCCGAATCCGTCTTGTTAAAGATGGAGGAAGCGGAACGCCTGAGACAGAGGCAGCCATGCCGCTCGGCACAGGAGGACATGAGGCGCTGGTTTAGGCCGGTGCCCCTTAGATTCTTATTTTTGTGTTGTGTTTTTTGTCTTGTGAGTTATTTTGGTAGCCCTCCCTAACGGTTTTCACTCTAGGATCCGGTTAACGAAAGGGGGGCACATCACGTTGCAAATCAGCTCTTGATTAATTCGGGCTGATTCACAACGTGGTAGTGTGAATTATTAAGATGACGTGGGCCGCCCTGAAGTAAAAAAAAAGGCGAATCAAAAGGCAATTGACGTTTACCAGTACTGGACGAAGACTGTCTAATTTTACAATTAACCGACCATGACAATACCTGTGTTCGGTAATCAAACTGTAATTTATATTATATTATTTACACAATGCTTTACATTACCACAATAGTATTAGCGTAATTATTATCTTTGATGCGAAAGTGAGAAGATATTGGTTTTACTATGATGTGTTTTTTTATTTTTTTTGTGTCTGTTACCACTTTTTCTCAGATCTCACCAAACCGATTTCTTTCTTAGAACTTTTTCAACTTAACATTTGAAATTGTTCCGAAAAGTGTGACACTTTTATATGTATCTTAAATTATAGCTAATGTAATATACTTTATTATGGAATATAAAAATTTCGTACTTTATTTTATCTTCACAGTGAAAACAGACATAAAATGAATGAAAAAAATGATGGGACAAGTATAAATGATATTTGACAGTGATTAAAATCACTATCATAAGAAACGCTTCGATGCAAATCTATAGATAGAGTTTCATTTAGAGAAATTGGTGGATTATTTCAAAAGCAACATCAACTCTTATTTCTTTGATTATATCCTAATTAGTAGTTCTTTGATTTTAAAATATAATATATTGTGATATATATTTTATATAGTAGAGGGGTCAGCTTATCATTGCTATACTGGTGATCGACCGTTGTATCATTCGTATGGATGGTAATGCGAGTTAGTTGACCTACTATCGTCTCCGTGCGAATTACCTGCGTTAGTCATGTGTTGTTAGTTTGTTATACACGTAATATACATTTATATTTTATGTTAAATCAAAAAGTTGGTGTTCTTCATTTTATTAATAAGTACCTTCTAGACTTATAAAAATTATTACAATATGAATAAATACTAATTATAATTATTAAATTTAGTATGAAAATAAAAAACTAAAAAAAATTTAATAAGTTTAATTTCTTATGTCTTATGACCTTTATTCTATGTCAATTAAATTATATAATATTCATGAAAGTCAATATATTCTCCTAATAAGATATTTTAAAATAAAATAAAATACAAAACCTACAATTTTATTAGAAAAATAACATATTTTTAAATACGGTAGCCATTTGCGCATTTTTTTCATTTTATAGTACTTAAAATAAGCTTTAATTTGATATATGTTTAAAGAACGCTGTATTTCCGGAACATTTTCAAAAATTAAGTTGAAAAAGTTAGTTTTTGTAAAAAAGTTGCTATTTTAAATCCCACCCAATGAGCAAGTTAAGTAATAGATTTTAAAAAAAATGATATCAAATGAAAGGGAAATATCTAAGGTTTTAGTATAAAAAAAATTATGTTGATTTGTTTATTTTTGAAAGAGTTATGGAAGTTTTAAGAAAAAAAAGTGAAAAAAATGACAAAATTATCGATTTTTAAATTTGTAATTTTTTTGGATATTTCCCCCATTTGCGGGGAACGAGGGAAAAGTTTTCAATTACCCTTAAAAATTGAAAACTTTCCGTTCGGTGAGAGCTGAGAAAAAGTGGTAACAGACACAAAAAAAAAAAACTCATCATAGTAAAATTAATACTTTCTCAGCTTCGCATCGAAGCTAAAATACGATTTTTGTAAAAAAATTTTTTTTTACAATTTTTAACTTTATAATGCTATAACTTTTTGGAAAATGAATGGATCAATATAATTTGTTTATGAGAAATAATATGTATATTCCTCTTTCATTCAACATACTTTATCTTAAACAGGATATAAATAAGGAAATAACAGATCATGTAGCTTATGTTGATTTGTTTATTTTTCAAAAAGTTATGGAAGTTTCGCATCGAAGCTAAAATTGAAGTATTTTTATTTTTGAAATTGTGTAAACAAGATTATGTAAGTACATATCATTTAGAGTTTTTTTAATTTAAACATAATATACTTTACTAAAATTAAAAATATTCAAGAGTTTTCAAGTAAATTAGTGTTTTATCTTTGTTGAATCATTTTATATATAATATAAAAATTTATTATACGCTAAAAAAATTGTAGTTAAACAATTACCTTATAAGCCATTTCTGAATAAACATTTTTGTATACTTGATCTACTTCCCCACATTCTAAAAGTTCATGATGTAATTGAAAACATTTGAGAACTGGATCAGAAGATGTACAACATAAATATGCAGGATTACTAATGGCAGCATAAACATTTAATCGTTCACAACCAATTGATATAATATCCATACTTTCCATCATCGGGCGACAACGAGAGATACACATACACTTAGATGGATGTGGCCTTTCTAATTTATCGCCACATGATAAGAGATATTCTATCATTTCATATCGACCACATTGTGCAGCCAACAAAAGTGGTGTTATAAAATTCGGATACTCTTCTGAATCCTCCGAATAGTTTAATTTAATACCTTCTATATATCTTCTTCCCATTATGGCATCGTTTTCATACTCAATTAAGTGTTTAAACATTGATAAATTATCGTGAGCAATCGCGAACAATTTTAAATCGCCTAATTGTACGTCTATAATAAAATTCACCACTTTTATTATATTTAATTTCAACATATTTATTTATTTATTTGTTATAGTTATCAACAGATCTATAATTTTAAAAATTTATCAGAATAAATACAATTATTAAAAGGTAATGTAGAGATAACGCGTCACTAATAACTAAGCATCTTTTCTAAATTTTAAATTTCTAATATTTAAAAAAGTAGTAAAACAAAATTGGTTTTTTACTAGTTAACATTTTACATGGGATATTCTCCATTTGATAGAAAATAATAATAGATTTTCATTTGACTTTCGAAAGTAACCTCAAATATCTACTCTTAGAAATATTTTTTTTTATAATTAACATGATATTAACAACGTTTTATAAAAATAAATTAAGTTTTAATCTATATTAAAAAAATAAACCATTAGTATACATTAAAAAAAAAAATCTTTCTTAGGGATTAGTATACTGTAATCTCACTGTGTATATATATATATATATATATATATATATATA